AAGACTGGTCGGCTTGGAGTCAGTATAATGTGTCTGAGTGGGGTATTCATGCTTCACTGCAGCATGGTATGTCAGTGGGCTAGCACTATAAAACCAGCTTCAGTCTGGGCTAGTACAAGCAGCCTCACATACCCATACACACGCATGCACGTCGTCATATGAGCGAAATATTCTCAAGCACGACGTTAAACCCAATTTCATCTCACCTCACCTCTATATTAACGATAAAACAACTGCTTTAGGTTCAATGATAATAACAATTATGGTGAAGATTAAGAAGACGCTGGAAACGTAATGCTTGTTTATGATTGCAGTCAAACCTTCGACCTGTTTCGAAACAAAGCAAACATGCATTCCTGTGATACATGGTACTATGTTACAGAGGTAGACCGTGCCCCGCTTTAACCTTAAACACTTTTGTAGCATTCGGTTTGTTTAAATAAAAAAGTAATATCGGGGCGCAAAGAACTCAGTCGAAATTAAATGGCTCCGCTTGTGCTCAGTGTCCTGTCAGTGTCCTTCCGATGCATATTTTGAGACACTGCTTTCGGAAGTGTTGCTTTATGACTTGCGCAGTTGGGATGCAGCCAGCCTGACCGCCCGGTCCCTTGCGACAAGCAAGGGTTGCTGAACATCAATTCTTAAAGGGATCGTCAAGGGTACACGACTGGAGGATCAGTTCACTCAATTTGAACAGTAGCGAGACAAATTGTGAGAAGACTCAAAGGAAGGGTGTCTGATAGACTAACGCTTAGACCCTGAATATATATAATTTTGATAGTAACAAATAAACCCATTTTAACTGAAAAGGAGCCCCAGTGAGTTGGGAGATTTGCTTCCTTTAGGGCGTTAGCATTGCAGGGAGTGCTGGGCATTATGGAATATAATGTGGTTCAGGGACTGGGAGACAGACTAGGTGTCTGACTTCGGATCTTCTTGACCCAAACCATTCCGTACACCCTATGTTGCAGGATAGGAGGTACGAGTGCTACGAGAAAAGTTACGAGACCTTAGGCTTACGAGAGCTTTGTGAAACGGGGTCCAGATATTAACATTCCGCATCTCGTGTAAACATATTGTATAGACCATGGCTGTCTTTTGTTATTTTCATGGTGAACCAGCCATCCGTTTGCAGCTGCCACTAAACGAATACAATATGGAACTTTTCACTTCTTCATTGTGGGTTCATATATCTAACGGAATGAAATACCGGTAAATACAGCATACAGATTTAATGAAAACCATTACTTGTTGGTTCGTCTGAAAGACAGAGACAGCAGCTCTTTTCATATGAGAATAGTGATATTGATGAAAATGTTGGTGTTCGTGTTGATAAGGTGGTGTATCGTATCCTACATACAAGTATGCCCAATTATTGACCCAGAAAAAGAAATTTTATTTTAAAATTAACATTTACCATCTTGTTATTGCCTCTGGAGACTTGCACCATTCACTCTATCGATACACACGGGCATATGTCTTATATCATGCCACAGTTCCACATTATTTGTTTACAGCTCCCTCTGAAGGCAAATTAGTCTCGGTAAGGGGCGCTAATCGGATTGTCTTGTTCGGTAATGTCATTTCAATGCAAAGCCGAATGTTGATAAGACCCGCCTGTCACTTAAAAGCCTGCAAGACCTATTATATATTGTTCAGGCAAATTCGCCATGTGCTAGGAGACACTATATGCTTAGCAGACTTCCCTTCACTGGAAGCAAAATGCAGATATATACAGTCATTACCAGTTATGTCCGCCCCCACCTTCTACTGGCAAGGTGCAAACCAGACTGTCTTAATACATATGTATGGACAGACGTATGTATACGAATAGTTCATGTTAGGCCAGGTTTCTTATACCCCGCCATGAAGTGGGAGAGGGGTATTGGTTTGAGCTCCGCCCGTCCGTCCTTCCATCCGAGATGATGACAGATTTTCTCAAAAACCGTTAGAGATAGGGAAACCAAATTTGGTATGTGTTATCAGGACACACATGCCTTGCTGTAGTTCAAAAACTGTACAATTTGTTAGTTATGGCCCTTGTCATGCGTTTCTTGACTTAGTGCACCGAATCCCCAATGGGGTCAGATTTTCTGTTACTGTTATAGATAGGGAAACCAAATGTGTTTTCAGGACATGAATTTCGTGGGGGAGGAACCAAATGGGAACAGAACACTGTGGTGGGGGGATATTGATGACCATATCTTCTTTTTTTATTGGAATTTTGTTTTTATAATTGATAATTTTTATTTCCTGCTTCCCCTGTTACAGAAAAGGCCGAAGAGCCAGGGAACTCTAAGGTCCTTTGCAAGAAGGTTAATTGATCACAGGAAAAACAGGATTTTTTTTCTAACAAAGCACAAAACAACAACACCAGACACCACAACACATTCACTCACCAATCACACTTACAAGCTTCAAATATTTACAGTAAGTTTAAGTTCAAGTCCATTCAGCCTATATTTTTCATTAGGGAACAAGAAGAAAGAATTCAGAAAATCATTTAAAATTTACAAAATCATGATATAACATCCACTTTTTATTAAACTTTTCTTGTTCACTTTTACTGAAGGATATATTCTTTTCAATAAAATACCTATCTTGTAAATAATGTCTAAAATGTTTAAACCTTTTTTATTGGAATTTGGTTGCGAATAAGACACCATGATACGTTTCACCTTCACTGAATTTCCATAGTTTAGAAGACCACACTTCTCTGTTGGATGGTAGGTCGTCTTCTATTTCAACCAGACAGTGTTATGTGCAACTTCCCAACTATAAGTGAAACTACGGAAAAGCACTCGGTGTGAAACCAACAAAGAATGTGATATATTTAACAGTTAGGGTCGGAATTCTCCCAGTGTTCTCTCAGGTAAATTTTGATATCCCTACATCCCGATAAAGTGTCCTGGGCCCCATTTCACAAAGCTCTCGTAGGCCTAAGATCTTGTAACTGTCCTCGTAGCATTCCTACCTCCTATACTGCAACATTGACTTACGATAGTCGTAGCGCTACGAGAGCTTTGTGAAACGGGTCCCTGTCCTTGTCCTCTTTGCACCAGACCATATGAATTCATGTGTTTCTATGCCCGCATCCGCGTTTGTGAGTATGCATGTCTGGCAGGGTTTGAGTATACATGTACGTTCATTTAATATTTCATGTTTATAATGCCAATAGATCCAACTGGAACATGAATGTAAAAGTCTTATTTAAAACGGAAGTTATAAGCAAACACTGTAAGTTTTCACGACCTTTTCGAAGAAGATTGAACTAGGAAGAAGACACAATTCGTTTGGCAGATAAATTTATTTTGAAGAAAATATTTCTTAATGATGACCTGTACAGGTACAATAGCAAGGAAGAAAATATTCAAAGATACATTCACATACGTACGTGTCATGAACAATCGTAAAGAATGTATAAAAACATTATCGAAGAACATTCGAATCTATTTAAAACTATCAAGAATCGACACAAACACAATTTTAAGTGAATGAAGATTAATTTTAAGTGATTTTCATAAAATGAACATTAACAAACGGCTATCTTGCATAAGCACTGTAAGAGGTTTAAGCAAAATCAAAATGGTAGATATTTTCAAACTAAAAATATAAAGTCACTTTAACAAAGCAGTTGTTGCGATAAACTATTCATTCACTGGTAGAGAGCACCTTATACTGAAAACTCTGTAGGAAATATTAAGATGGTGTATTACATCAGAGGATGATAATTATTACTATTTGTGTGCGCTATATCTGCAAGTAGTTTCCTTTCAGTCGATACAAGTAACTCGAACGACACATTCTCATGTACAATGCAAGTGGAAAGTCACATTTTCACCACCACAACACGGAAATCACGATATATAGGAAAATATATGAAAGTTGTAGAAATGTCTGGATACAACACCTACAGGTGGAATAGATATATAGCAAAATATCAGTGAGTCTTTTCAAAATGGAAATGTGAAAGATGTTTGAGAACGTTGATGACTGAGAAACACACCCTTTCTTTTTTCATATATGCCCACTTTAAATGTATCATCAAACACATGTTGATATTTCTTGGCTAACTGAGTTGTAATACAATATAACTATAACACAAAGGAGAGGTAATGTTCGACTGATGTAGCCCTATATTAAATTTAGTTCAGGTATACAAAACAACTTAAAGTAAAAATTGAAACAGGTCCATCTATTCCTTGATCTTCCAAAGGCCATCAACATGAAGCTAATTTGTATGGAATGTGTTTTGACATATCGTCTATATATACCAGAAATACATTTCCCCTACAAATCAGACGAAGTGGGAACATTCATTTCATTTCTAATGGTGGACTACTTAAAGGATATATTTCTTAAGAGGTACCTCCAAAATATCAGGTTAGTTGGCAGTGGCGAAGGAAGTGGTGTTTGTTTTGTGGACAATACCTAAAAGTAAAATTTAGGTGTGTTTATACTAAATTGAATAGATTGTTTGATGGCGCTCAGTAAATGAAACGTTTCTTGGCATCTTCCTTGAAGATCCAGGTTGGAACCGGTCTTCAGCAGCCATGACTGTGACAGGATCGGTTGGTCAGTCTCGCTGACTGGGTTGATGCATGTCATCTCATAGACCGCCGTCATAGCTGGTAGGGCTGCGCAATATAACCGGTTTACCGGTATTTACCGGTTCAGACATGAACGCGATACGTATTGCGATACGCTGATCGAAAACCGGTATTTTGACATGCATTCGGAAAACTTCGTAACACTCGGAAATCTTCGGATATTTCCGTTTTTTAAATTGTTCCTTTCCTTGTTTCATTTGTGCCAAACATTATTTACATTTTTATTTTGTCATGATTAAAAGTTTTTATTAAGGCCTAATCAAGCATTGTGATTGTGTTGCGTTTTTGCTCTATAAATCAAGCATTAACTCTATTATACGTATTTTTTGTTAAAGAAAACTTCTTGCGATATATTGCAATACATATCGCAAAATATGCTTTCGCATCGCAATTTATCCCAATATGAAAATTCCTTGCAATATCCACCCCTAATAGCTGGCATATTGCTGAGTATGGCATGAAACACCTAAGATAAGATTACAGTTGTTTCTTGGATTAAGGTGGCAGAAACTAGAGTGTTCCAAACAGGAATCATCTTCCTTACCCATCAAATGGACGAGACCTTATGAAACTGTTTCAGCCTCGTCCTTATTGTGACGGTCTTGGTTCTACGATGAAACAATAAAATCGGAACACCCGGTGCAGTGAACGTTTCCTAATGCTATGACACCACTGAAATGTAATCATTCACCAGGTTGAATGTGCAGACACTGATGTATTACATGAAAACAAATACATAAACCGTTTCTTTGAAAGAAGTATCACATCACAACATCAAAATATTAGGAAAATCTCGATTCAACCTGAAAGCAATGGAGAACGAAGTAACAATTCAAGAAAACCCAAAAAATCGAATATTGAAATTATGACATTGACGATACAATGTAAGTATAGTGCAAACACATTATAATAGACACTTAATACATAATATAAATATACATATATATCAGATACGAACAGCAAAATATGCAAATAATTTTGCAGTTTAAACTCAAATGATAAATGTGATGATGCGTGAAATGAGTAATTCATAACAAGCTAAAATAACATGACCAGAATGATTCACCTGATGAAGGATTTGGCTCTTAGAATTTTTTTTAAGAAAAAGGAATTATTCAAAAAGCTGATGTCACGACGAAGGAAGATGAAAACTGCATTCAAATGATATATACTAGCAATGTTCTAATACAAATTCCCATACGATCACAACTGTGCCAGGGATATTCATCTCTGAAGAAACTCATGATTAAGCACATATTCTCATTCAATCACCTTCCAGAACCAGCCTGAAAAATGCACACATTGTTATTCCAGATATAATCATCGAACACTGTAATCTTGTTGAGCATTTCTTTTAGCAGCTTTACGCCTTGCAATCATGTTAGTTTCAACGTGGGTGCCATCTTCATCCATTGGAACTGTGATCTCAACCCTGGGGATATTGTCTGCGCTAACCGGTCGCCTGAGACAGCTAGACTCCACAGGGGAGATCACTCCCGGAAGAACGGGAGTGGAGACACAACGGGCGATAACTGCGAATGGACTTCCGGGACTGGAAAGATTGATCCCTAATGACTCTGTGTTGTGGGGTAGAATGTTTTTCAGTTTGCGTCTCAATGAACCACCGCGTCTCTTTTTGGATTGTTTCGTCGAGTCCGTGCGGGACAATTGATCAGAAGCAAGATCGGGTACACTGCTGCAACGTTCGACGTTTTGGTTGAGGCGAGACTTTAGGCAAAATCTTTTTGTGTTTGAGAACTTGGCAATGGATTCTGCACACTCTTTCCTTCCTACAAAGCGAGCCCATTCTTCAGCACACAGCTTTCTGCCATGATCGCGCAGCTTGGGATCAGCACCTGAATTGATAAATGGAATCCGCTTAAAAATGACGTTATATTGTGAAGTTTTTCTTGAAATTGCAGCTCATTCACAAATTCAAGAATACACCAAATTAGGATAGCGTGCTTGTGCACGTAAAACAAGGTGAACTCAGTTTTGATGTAAAATCCGTACAGAGTATGAAAATGTTTCTCAGGCCCATGGATATTTTTGTGAACAAAAGCTACATGTAACTATACTACATATGATCGTCATACAAAATGTCTCATAATCATTAGAATGTTTGTGATTTTTTAGTTTAACATTCTGAGCAAGGTCACACATTCATTTGCTCGATAGGATATTAGTCTTGAAGGATAATTCCGTGCAACGCTAATCATCATCTGACTGAAATATTAAGTTTATGAACTAAATATGTGTCAGTACATAGTTTGGGCGGCATAATTTAGCCACCCGTTTTCAACCTACTTACCGTAATATACTAATAGACACACTGGACTTGACACTTAAGTGTCCGAAATAGGTCACAGTTTCTGTGTCTGGTTTATTGAGAAGTTGCGTAATAGTGAAAAAAATGATAAACCCTGTTTTTAAATATTAAATGGAATATTTTATATTATTACACTAAATTTAGCATACTATAGTTGCGAAGAAACAAGGTATTTATTTTCGGGAATGACGCTAAATTTAAATTTTCCTCTGGTGCATATGTCATTAGTTCCATGTATTACCGCAGCGGAAATTGGTTGTTCCTTAACTTGCTTCTAAGCATTCTCTTTGGTCAGAATTTCTGAAATATTTTATAAAAAAACTTTGTTTTATATACGGATCGCTGACTATCAAATAAATGCCTACATGTAACTATTTGGCATGATAATGCAGGGAGACCTGATAATGTCTTCCACCCGAAAGGTATTCAAGTCAAAGTGTACGGGTTTATGCGGTTTCGCTATAAATACCGATAACAATGCACTATACCTAGTATTAAAGATCAATCAATACATATTGATGTACCATACAAAAGAAAAATGATAAAAAAATCTATAGCCTGTCTCGCATTTGATATACTTCTCGCCGAAATCTTTGTTGTTATTATCGATGAGACTTTAGTGGTGCTCAATTGTATATTTGCCAGCGCATATCGGATTGCTTCTGCCTATGGCATATATAACAAGAAGTATTAATGTTCCGGTCATCCGAACACACAAAGCTGTTTGACAATGCAAACATACTCCTCAAGCCCGCTTGTTCTGTGTTGGGCCTGTGTATAGAGGATCGTTGAAGACAACATCGCCGATCATCGGATCCATTATTGAATTAATGTGATCATTTTGTATTTCAGCTCGATAATAACATTCGATTAACAACGTATTGATTTATGGAAAACATGCATAATTGCTAAATCAGAAACTCATATTGATTTGAGCCAAATAATTGGTCTTCTGAATGGACACGCTCGTTCTGTTCCGAGCAAGAGAGTGCTGTAATTGCTCCGCACAATCTTTATAAGTAGCTATTTATAGCAGAAATTAACTCAAGCACGTGTCACAGGGACGGAATGTGTCTTGGTAATCAACACGGTTGAACCCAGATGGCACGAGAGGTCGTTGTCTGACTGGTTTGGAAGAAGTATCTGAGGCCTTTGTTGATGGTGTGCCATTAATCTCTCTACCACTGTGTACCATGCACTAATCAAGTACCTTCGCTTTTATATTTTCTCAATCTTGATCCTAAATAATGTGCGCAATGGACGAACACGCACCTTCAGATACTCTTTACAGACCTCGATGAGTTCATCATACTCCACAAGGATTGGTTGGAACCAGGGTTATTCATCTTACATTACATCTGTGTCCTAATAAACAGGTACGTACCGTTAAACCAAAGGAAATCCACACTGACCATCTGAGTCAATGTAAAGAGATGCACCCAAGGTTCTAGACGCACCGTGATTATATCAGTCATAAACCCTAACATAACCCATATCGGTCAGCTGGAAACCCTTACATAACCCATATCGGTAGCTAGAAAACTTACATAACCCATATCGGTGAGTTTGAAACTTGACATAAACCATATCGGTGAGCTGGAAACCATTACACAAACCATATCGGTGAGCTAGAAACCCTTACATAACCGATATTGAGGAGCTGGAAACCCTTACATAACACATGTTGGTCAGCTAGAGACCCTTACATAACCCATAGCGGTCAGATAACAAGCCCTTACATAACCAATGGTGAAAAGCTAACATGTCCATCAATTAATCCATAACGATTAGATAAATAACTCCTTACATAACCCATATCGGTAGCTAGAAACCCTTACATAACCCATATCGGTGAGTTAGAAACTCTACATAAACCATATAGGTCAGCTGGAAACCATTACACAAACCATATCGGTGAGCTAGAAACCCTTACATAACCGATATTGAGGAGCTGGAAACCCTTACATCAACCATATCGGTGAGCTGGAAACCCTTACATCAACCATATCGGTGAGCTAGAAACCCTTACATAACCCATATAGGTGAGCTAGATACCCTTACATCAACCATATCGGTGAGCTGGAAACCCTACATCAACCATATCGGTAAGCTAGAAACCCTTACATAAACCATATAGGTCAGCTAGAAACCCTTACATAACACATATAGGTGAGCTAGATACCCTTACATCAACCATATCGGTGAGCTGGAAACCCTTACATAAACCATATCGGTAAGCTAGAAACCCTTACATAACACATGTTGGTCAGCTAGAAACCCTTACATAACCAACATCGGTCAGCTAGAAACCCTTGCCTAACACATGTTGGTCAGCTAGAAACCCTTACATAACCCATATCGGTCAGCTAGAAACCTTTACATAACCAACATCGGTCAGCTACAAACCCTTGCCTAACACATGTTGGTCAGCTAGAAACCCTTACATAACCCATATCGGTCAGCTAGAAACCTTTACATAACCATCATCGGTGAGCTAGAAACCCTTACATAACCCATGTTGGTCAGCTAGAAACCCTTACATAATCCATATCGGTCAGCTAGAAACCTTTACATAACCATCATCGGTGAGCTAGAAACCCTTACATAACCCATATCGGTCAGCTAGAAACCTTTACATAACCATCATCGGTGAGCTAGAAACCCTTACATAACCCATGTTGGTCAGCTAGAAACCCTTACATAAACCATATCAGTGAGCTAGAAACCCTTACATAACCCATATCGGTGAGCTGGAAACCCTTACATAACCGATAGCGGTGAGCTGGAAACCCTTACATAACCCATAGCGGTCAGCTAGAGACCCTTACATAACCCATAGCGGTCAGCTAGAAACCTTTACATAACCATCATCGGTGAGCTAGAAACCCTTACATAAACCATATCAGTGAGCTAGAAACCCTTACATAAACCATATCAGTGAGCTAGAAACCCTTACATAAACCATATCAGTGAGCTAGAAACCCTTACATAACCCATAGCGGTCAGATAGCAAGCCCTTACATAACCCAAGGTGAAAAGCTAACATGTCCATCAATTAATCCATAACGATTAGATAAATAACTCTAACAACTTTTCGCGATCAGCTAATAAGTAATAGGAGTCAGCTAACAAGCTCTTACATAACCAATAGAAATCAGTGAACAAGACCTGACATAAACCCTTGGCGAACAGCGGACAAGCTCTTGCATAACCCATAGATGGCAGCTAACAAGACCGCGGTTTGAGAATTTGTGTCCTATATCATCATGGATAACACGATATACTTCCATATGGTCCCCCGTATTTTACTTTCACAAATGTGTCTGAATATGTTTCGTCAAGGTAATAATTAAAGGTTTTACTCTTAAGTCGGAGGGGCGGTGGGGTGGCCTAGTGGTTAAAGCGTTCGTTCGTCAAGCAGAAGACCCGGGTTCGATTCCCCACATGGGTACAATGTGTAAAGCCCACTTCTAGTGTCCCCGGTCATGATATTGCTGGAAAATTGCTAAAAGCGGCGTAAAACCCAACTCACTCAGTCACTAACTTAATTCGGACGTTACAGTATTATCCCGGCGTTTTTGAAATAATAGAAAGAAAAGATAAAACGATAAATACTGAACTGCAGTAAACTACGGTTATACCGAACTCAAAAGTATCAGTAACTTTACTTCGATATAACCATAGTTCTTTATACGCAGTTCGACTAAAATAGACAACAAGTGGCCGGTACCCCAAAACAGTTGGTTGTATCCGTCAGTTCGTTACAAGCGTATTCAGTGTAAAAGTAGTTTAATTTACCATTCAGGTCGTCGGGGTACCTTGACATACTTTCTGTCACCATGGTAACAAACACGAGGTTCTTGGACCGTTTCTATGGTATCACCATTCTGTCGGATTGTATGGTAAACATAGGATACTGGGGCCATTACTACCCCGGAGTTCTCAAAAGGGAAAGATTATAGATAAACATGACCAAGGATTCCATTTGCTGATCTACTTACTCTGCTCGTATGTCGATATATATACCTAAGATAAATAGCAGAGAAAGGAAGGACTGAGATAGCACTTCCGATCGATGGGAATCGAAGACTTGGTTGCTGGACTGTGTTTATGTGCAACTCATTCAAGACAGTTGAATATCAGTAAAGGTTTGGTGAAGATTTACATCTCCATAAAGGAATCACTGCATTTCAAGTAAATATCCACAAAGTGATAGAATATTGTTTTACGCCGGGTTTTTTCAATATTCCAGTAATTCGGGGGATTACAATAATGGGTTTCACACAATATGGCAGTATGGGGAATCGAACCCTCAAGGCTACTTACCGCCCCTTCGCATGTAAAGGAATTACTATACTCTATAGAGATTTTACAGACACAATTTACAACTGGATTGCTGTGTCCCTCAGATGTATATATCAGCATTCTTATCTGTAAATAGCAGCGCCAAGTGCGTACGGCTATCTTCGTCACTTGAATAAACGGTCGGTGGGGTAGATTTTGGTTAAAGCGTTCGCTCGTCACGCT